ACTCATATCACTGATGGACTACAATAACAACACACACACTGTTGTACATTTACAGCTAAGAAAAGTGCCTTATCTTTACTAGCCTTGATCTAACTAGCAATCATAATTTATGTTAAATGCTAAGGTTAATGTTACCTTTTTTCGGGTCCAGTCCATGGATGGGTGTACACTGGAAGTATTGCCATCGTGCTGGAAGCTAATTCTGTTTTTCAGTATATAGTTATATGAAGTAAACAATCAAAATTCTTTGTATTGATGCTTTTTAGTAATCGAGTTATTCGATTCTCGATGAATCGCTTCAGCCCTAGTGCAGAACACCAATGAGCATTTTTCACAAGATATTACCAAAATTATGACAAACAAATTTGATGATTATCACCTCAAAAGAAAGTTTGGTAGACAGAAAGATTAGAGTTTCAACACATTAAACAGGAAGAAACTGAAGGTAAAGATTAGGAATTAGGAAAGTTTTCTTTTGTTAAAAAGCAAATCCTAACAATGAACTTAAAAATACTGGACAAATCAAGATAGGTAATTAATCATGAATTAATGTCTTGTTGTACACATTAAACAATAGTAATTAAATTACTGCTGTATTCAGCTATATTTTCCTGGAAGAAAACAGTGTTTGTCCGCCAAGAAAAAGAGCAATTAAAGTCCAGCTTGTGTCTCCTAAATGTCTGTGACAGCAGCCTCCTGGATTCTTTACCACCACCTTTACTACCTCTGCTGTGTTAGAGGTATTTACACTGACGCTTATATGTATGTATGTGTGTGTGACAGAGAGAGGGGGTAGAGAGATACTGAGGTAGACTGAAAGAGAGAGAAAGAGTGAGAGAAACAGGCCACAAAAGAGAGGGAGAAAGAGAAAGAGAGACAAAGAGACTTAATCAAATGATTAATAGACTGAGGGAAATGGAGTCCATCCAGCAAACACAGACTGACTGAGCTCACACTTTAAACCAGTGAAAAGCTTGTTTTTCTTGTCTTGGTTTACAGTCATAAATATTTCACACATGTTTAAATGTACACATTTATGCACGCTGGATCTCACACTATTGCCCCGAATGAATGTTCATTTCCTGTTTCCACGCTTTTCCCCATGACAACGTTTTCATAATATTCTCTGCATTTTAAAGTCAAAAGTTATTTCTATCCTAAAGTGAAAACATGTCTCTCTGACTACATAGAGAAACACCAGCGTGTCAGAATTTGTGGGTGATTAGTCCGTCACATGTCCAAGCATGTACACAGAATCAGAGCAGGAGCACTGTGGATAATTGTGAACTCAGAAGTCGTGTTGGTCCTAAAAAATACAAATCCTGTATCAAAGTGGAGCACTGATTTGATATTTAAGAAAATGTGATGTTAATATGACGCCTGTTTGATCTGCGCTTCCTCTCTTCGTGCCAGACGCAAGTGTCATATCATTTTCCAACACACTCTCTCTCTCATACATACATAGATTCACTCTATTGCCTCAGTTATCTCTCACTTTCATCCACTGGCAGCAGCTGGAACTTAGATTTTTCTTTCATTTTCAAGCTTTTGTAGACTCCTTCCTTCTCAAAATTTGTAGCTTTAAGTAATTTTGTCTGCTTATTCATAAGGGTCCAGCTGCCATTTTACTTTAAAAACATGCAGGATTGATAGGATATAAACATTTAGCATTTAGAATCGGGGTCTGTCATTTTGGCCACGTAAAGAAAATGTTGCTGTATATGAGTTTTGCTATATATGTTTGCTATATCAATAACTTTTTCTTAGCCCATCTCATAATGACTGTTCGATTTATCTTTATTTCAGTCCTTTAAGTAAAAATAATTAAGGTGCAGTGTGCAGCCATAACTTATTAAACCTAATTGAAAAGTTGGAAAATTGAACACGCTTCTCAGTCCAGACAGTAAGTAACGTTAGTTATGCACATGCATACTGTACATAGACATGTCTATAATATAAATGCGTACAATCACATACACAATGGCTTGCATGTGTGCAAATCTTGTGTTACGTGATTTGTGCAATGCTTTAATCAATCAGCTCATTTCTTTTCTAGTGTTTGTAATTTCATAACCAAAGCCTTTGTAAATTCTTTCTGTTCTGATTTGGTGATACTTTTATTGCTTTGTGTGGAACACTAACTGAGCATTACACATTACATTTCTGTAAATATGTTCTGAACAAAAAAAGAAGTATCATCATCCCATTTCGCTATCCCATCCTTATTGCACACACACACTCATATAAACTTTACCAAAAACTTTGGAGAACCTCGGTGTACGCTAGCGTGGCTAAGTCATTGCTGCTTGTCTGAGTGATTGATAGCATTGCAGCTGGTCCCATCCAGCTGCACTGTATTATACAGTTTAAGAGGGAAGGGCTGGCCTCTTCTCACGCCCCCCCCCAAAACTGAGATTCATTAGTTGGAACTCTGTGTGTGTGTGTGTGTGTGTGTGTGTGTTTGAGATTGTGCATCTGTGTGTTTAGGATAGAGTGACTCATTGAAATTTGAGATGCCGTGTTTATTTTTTTACACTTTAAGTTGTTTTATAATAATGCGTGTTAATATTTATTGATGCATGCGTGTTTGAACTGAAACATGAGGAGGAAGAAGGACAGTGGAGTGCGCGTGTGCATATCTTCGTGTGTGCACCGCTTTGTGACTTTGGCAAATGTGTGTGCATTTTCAGGACAGGAATCTAACAGATAGTCTTTCCACACTCTAAGGCCATTGGCAATCAGATGTTAAGTGGTCTCAGCATTATCTGAGCCTTAGGAGACGGTTTTGAGTCAGCTCAATCAATCCCCATCCATCCAGTGCAGAAAAGCACCACCTCCAGCTTATTGGAGAAGGGCCCTGAGGAAGGGAGTTCACCAACGTGGCAAAAAACTACCCTCGGTCATTGAGCATGTTTGAGTTTGAGCCAATATTATGGCCCATACAGAAAAGTATCTGTCAGTAGAAACCCCATTTGGACTAGTCTACACTGAAACATGTGTAAAATTGTAGCATATTTATTTCATCTCAGGAACATGCTGAAAGACTTGAGAATGGCAGTGTAGTTCTCCAATTTTAGAACTACTAACTTGCAGATGTAGAACATTGTGTTGCACACAGAGCAACGCTTTAGGCGAGCCAGGAAGTGTTGGCTGCTGCAATTTTTTATAAATATTATTTTTGCATGAATGAGTTTCTTGTGGGAGAGAAACTAATTAGCTCATCGTTTAGAGGGAGGAAAAAAAAGAGTGGCCCCGGTGGGACGCTCGGCGCGTAAAATCAATGGTGATTTGTGCAACAGCTTCTCAAATAGCGATGCAGCGGGCCGAGTGCTGATATAGGCATGCTGTGCATGACACTGCTTGATGGATGGATGAATAGATGGATGACCACAAGTAGCACTACCACCCAGAACATCCCTCACACACTAATAGAAGCAATGACAACGGCAGATGCAAGCAAATACTACGTACAGTATTCACTAAGACAACGTTGAAAACACCATGAAAAATAACTAAAACGGACATTATTTCATTCATGAATAAAGGAAGTGATATTTTGTGACACTTTCCCTGTCGGAGACCTCTGAGCAGTTTTCCCTGCCAAATCTTTAGATCACAGACTGAGATAAAGAATATTTAATGGGTGTGATGGCAACGCACTCACCAGTCTGAGCAGACTTGCAGAATTTTGCTCAATAATTGAGCTATAATTAAAGGTTTTCATACCGTCAATGTTGTTGATGGGATAGAAGGTATACAAGTGCACATCATGTCCTGTGATGTGAAAATGATGATGATGATTGTGTCCAGAATGTATTTTTTACTATCCAGATGATGTGCTGTCATTTATTTTGCTGTATAAGACTCTTTGGTAAGCAACATGGAATATTTTTGCGCCACTCAGTTTTGGTTCTTCTGTCCTTCATAATTTCCATTGATGAAAATAATAATTATTAATAGGAATGTCAGGCATATTACTGGCTAATAAATGTGATCCCAAAAAACTTACTTTGAAGTTCTTAAATGAAAAAGTCCCTGCTGGCTTAAACACTAAATATAAAAATATTTGGTGGTGGATTTAAAAAGAAAAGAAGACAAAGAAGCACAAAAAGATTGTATTACAAAGTAAACCTGTCAAATTGCATGTCAAGCTGTCAAAAACATGTTAAAACAGGAACACTGTGTTACCTTTCTCACCTGTCTACTAACTATCATAGCCACTTGTATACAAAACAATAAAGGATTTTCTTGGCTTGTTAGCCTTGAAGACAGGATAATGAGCATTGCCTCAGGCATGACTCAGCTAATATGTAGGTGCTCTCCCTGCAATGTAAAAGAGTGCTATGAGTGGTTTTTATTCTTCTTGTTATAAGTCATACAGAGTAGAGCAGCCTCTACCCTCGAGAGACCCCGGGAGGCTCCTGAGGTTGTGTTTTCAGAGATCATGAGGTTGAAACAATGATGGGTAATTTTGTTCAACTGTTTGTTCTTGTCAGACCTTTTGTACTGGGGTCTTTCACACTGTCTTAAAGAGGTTGATTTGCCTGAGAAGCACAAGGCTGACATGAGTTCAATTTGCACTTGTCGTTCTCTTTTATTGCTGACGGGTAAAAATGTTGCCTCTTCAATATTGCTGTCTTGTCACTTTTTGCTTCGTCCCCTCCTCCTCTCACCATCAAGTTCCCCTTATTTCTCTACTCTACTCCTGCAACGCCAACATCTCCATGTTTGCTTTCCCTTTAAACCTCCCTCTCTGCTGACTATGTCTTTCCTCCTTTCTCATTCTTCCCGTCACCACTGTTATTTTCACCCCCATTTCTTCTCCACCTCCAATTTGAATGCATGTCTCTCTCTTACTTCTACCTCCCTTATATGCATCTACCCATTTCCATTTCATCCTTTCTTTTCCAGATCTCCTTCACCTCCCCCTCATGCCCTTGCCTCCACTTGGCATCCCTCTGGCCTTGTTGCTCCTCACTCCTGACCTCTTTTCCCGGCAGGTATTCCTTCCAGGATGAGGAGGACATGTTTATGGTGGTGGACTTGCTCTTGGGGGGAGACCTGCGCTATCACCTGCAGCAGAACGTCCACTTCTCAGAGAGCACTGTCAAACTCTACATCTGTGAATTGTCCCTGGCCCTGGGATATTTGCGCACCAAGCGCATAATACACAGGTGAGATGTTTTCCATTCTATGAACCTTTTTTATGTAGTTTATTATATTGTAGTTTGTTTAATTAACTTTGAAAATGCAGAGATGGGGTTTCTGCTCTCTCCATGTAGACAAATAACATGAGAGAAATAGTCTTTGACTTTGCCCCATTTTGTCTCTTCCTGACACAATTAGCTCCTCTTCTGTCTCTCTTGTTTTTTCACCAGCAAGTACCCCGGTATTCTTTTCTCCTTGGCTGTCCACTTCCATATTATTTTTTAATATGAGTGCTCCACCACTGTGCAGAAAGGTCAAGCTGTCTTGACATGAAGGTCACAGCTGACACAACAGTTTACCCTGAAATGCAGACTATGATCATCATGAAATGGGCCGGTTCTGTCTACGCTGCTGTGTCGATGCCTCATTTAATTTGTAAAATGCGGGTTAAGTGCTTTTTATGCAGAAATAGCTGCTGCTATGGAAGAAAGACGCTTGGCCAAGAAAGACATGGCTACAGTCCAATATTATTATTTTAAGTTGTTGAAGTGACTAAAGATAGTGGGATATCCTGTTACAGCCAATGATGCTGCCAAAAAACATTGAATACATTAAGTGAGTGCTTCTTTTGCTGAGGTGCAAACCCCTTGAGACTTCCTTAATGGAATCACACCACAAATCTACCTCATCCATCTAGGGACAATGCAGATAAAATACACAACTTGAGCAACCCTGTCTCACACTAAATATTTTCTAATTTGTGTTGCCAAATACATTTTGGAGGAAACATATTCACTGCATTTTTTTTCATATCCTGCTGTGTTACTGTTTAATTGCACACAAGTCAGAGAATTTCCCGGTAATGCAAACTCAATACTTCCATGTTCCTCGCTGCACATTTATTTCAGTTAAACAGTTATTTCATACTTACTCTGTTGATCTGAGTTTCTCTTCTTTAACACAAATACTGTTTTCATTCACTGATTTTTCCAGTCTTCTTGCTTTCGAAGTTTTTCCTCAATCTGTGTTAAGCTCCGTCCACTGACAGTCCACCATTTCAGCGGATTTTTCACATTAAAAGACGTCTAGCTTTCCTTTTATTGGTAAGCTTGCCATTTGAGTTACTGAAGTAGTTTACAGGTGGCTTTTATTAGCCATCGGCTTTTATTTCACCTTTAAGTTGCCCAAATACAACCATAAAAACATTAATCATGCTTTAGTTACCAGGAGAGTATTGTATATAAAAAACATGAAATACACTGATGAGCCATCCATTGTCAACTGCTTATCCTGCGTACAGGGTCCCGGCAAAAGGCAGGGTACACCCTGGACAGGTTGCCAGTCCATCGCAGGGCCACACATAGACAAACAACCACTCACGCTCACACTCACAGATAAGGACAATTTAGGGTCACCAATTAACCTAGACCGCATATCTTTGGACAGTGGGAGGAAGCTGGAGAGAACCCACGCAGACACAGGGAAAACATGCAAGCTCCACACAACTGGGGTTTGAACCCACAACCTTCTTGCTGTGAGACGACAGTGCTAACTACTGCATCACCGTGCCGCCCATACACTAATGAGCATTTGTTTTAAATATATGCCCAAAATAAACATTTGCTCATGTTGATGAAAAAACAGAATCTGGGTGGAATTTGAATTAATTAGAATAAGTTTCTTACTTAATGTGTTTGCTGATTCAAAGTACTTGTAATCATTTGTAGGAGGACTTCAGATCCAGAAACACATACTGCAGGGTACCAAAGCACAACAAAATGTACACTTTTTGCAGTACTTTAAGTGCATACATTTTTAGCATAAAGTGCATGAGCGGTGCTTTGCTCCAATCTCTGAGGCACTGACCATTTTCCATCCCCTGCTTAGACTTACTCCTCCACTCTGGAAAAGCGGCAAACAGAGAAAGAGAGGCCTTGATGACTAATAGGAAACATCACTGCAACAGAGCACACTAATTTATCAACACCCCCAGATAACAAATTATGCCATTTAACGCATACTACTTGCACTTGTCCACGCTCTTAAACCTTCACAGGAAGGAGAGAGAGGGAAATAAATGGGACGGGTTATTAATGTGCTTATTCATTCAGTCCATTGCGGGATGTGAATATTTAAATTATGTTTTCTATTTTAGTGCAGGAGAGGACAGACTCCCCACTTGATGTGCAGGTGTTGGGGGCGTTTGTTTAGACGGAATCAACATCTTTTCAATCTGCATTTATTAGCTTCAAATAGGATGAGGAACTCAAAGTAACTCTGAGCTCATCTCTATGGAAATTGAATATATAATGTCTCAGATGTGGACGGGCTGACTTTGGTACACAGAGAAAATGCACTTAAAACCTTCAGAATGTGTGTATGTGTGTGTGTGTGTGTGTGTGTGTGTGTCCACACACCTGTGTATGTGTGTGTAAATGAAGGATGCACACATTCTCCTTCCGTTAGTTTTTGATGATTTTGATGATAATGAGGGGAGTAATGACGATAATGACATTAATCGCATGCAACATGACGATAATTATGTTATTTATGAGTTTGATCATGACTGCGACAGAAGATGCTTGGCAGTAGTTGGGTTCAATATGATGGCTTGATGTCCACATTAGTAAAGCTAAGCTTTATTTATTCATGAAGTCTCATTGAGATGAACAAATTACATACTGTATAAGTTCACAACAAGATAAATCCGTCACACAAAGCACTCATCTCTCACACACACACACACACACTAAACAAAACAATAACAAATATTATTAAAAATAAGGAAAGTAAAGGGAACTTTAAAGTTTGTCTCTAACCTTAATTTATGTCAGAGTTCATTCCAGCAGTTCCAGAACAAGTCATCCCCAGTTCACTAGGAACCTTCCAGCTAACCTATTCTGTGATCTGGTGTCATGGTCATTCACTTTGACTGCATGTTTTCTTAATCCCACTCCTGCCATTACCATTACCAACCGCTCCCGCAATATGTGTGTTCCAGACGGCTGCTCTTGCCCACAACTACATTTAAACCGCCCACTCCCACAAAAGCCGCATAATTCCAATCCCAATGTTGTCCTCTAATGCATAACTGTCAGTAATGACTTAGCAAAATGACATTCTCTTCCTCTGTATTAAACATAACATTTTGATTAGATTTTTGTAGATCATTTAGCTTAATGATTGTCTTGTTTGGTCATTATGAGCCACCGTACCATGTATGTGGATCCATGGCAATGCCAGTGAATGTGTTCAGATTCAGTCTAGTTCACAGTCATCTAAGAGGACTTACTTAACGTCTGATCGCTCCTGTAAAATCTGCGTGGGGTCCCGGGGGTTTCCCAATCCCAATGCAGTCCTTTACTTAGTACGACAATTATCATTGTTACCAAATTCTAAGTATTTATAATCCAATGTTCAATTGATTGGATTTCTGAACAGATCAAAGGTCATGGATTAGGAGTCGTTAGGAGTGTTTGTGCATATGTTGTTGTTTATAGACTTAACTAAATGCTTACCATTAATGAAAGAGGTCTGGTTGTCATCAAAAGCAGAATGAAATCTCAAGAAAGGTTTGTGGTAGAGGCAACTGCATAGAACATGGTACCTTCAGAACAAGGGTGTCACTTTGTGTTAAAAAGTGGTGGGGACATTTTAGGGCTCATATTAGGGGTGTGATGAAACACTTAGTCCATGAGATGTGATAATGCACAATATTGGAGTCACGAGAGCAAGATAAGAAGATTCTCCAATGCTATTTAGAAGAAATATTGAAAGGCTGAAAAAGGCTACTCTATTGGGGGGTTTTGAGCATTGAACTCTCAATTTCCCGCATTCTAGAGACATTTTCTGCACCAATTTATGGTGGAAATGTCTTTATTTATATGAACGGAAACAAAATTCATGTGGCCGGTGACAATTCAGAATATTATATTATAATATTATCAAATATAATGCAGTAATCAGCAGCTTGTTTTTTAGCCTAAGTTACTTTTTTTGGACAAGGCAGATCTGTTTCTTCTATATTTACATAGAATTTTATTCATTCATTCATATTGTGCAAGTAAACCTTTCTCCTAGTCTCCTAATTTTCATAAAACTTTTAGTAAATGCTTTCAAAAAGTGGTGAGGACAATATCAGCCGTTTCAAAAAAGTGGTGGGGACATGTCCCCAGTGTCCCCAGTGCAAATGAAACCTATTCAGTAGTGCTCAGTTGGAAAATAAATATTATTTAAGTGCAGAGTAAATAGTAGGGGTCCTAATGTAGATCCTTTGGGGATATCTTTATTAACTATTTGGGAACTTGATTTAAAACCACTGGTAATAGACTAGAGTCTATTTGGATCCCACTTGTGCTCTAAGAATTGTTATTTGGTTGACATTTTAAATCAGGAATATGAATGAAGGTTATTTCATTGGCTTAGAAATTGCTAAATGTAGATATAAAGCGTGTCAGGGTCAGAGTAAAGCTCCTGAGAGGAATTCTGTCTCTGTCTGTAACTATATAGCACATAATATACACAACAGCAGTGACAACAACAGATATCTCTGTGTTTAGTATTTGCTAATTTAAATAATGAGCTCTTACTGTATGCAACTGTATGGCAATACCATGCCAAGGCAGTGCAGTAATGAGGTTAACGACAGCAGTTCAGCTCATCTTGAAAGAGCCTTAATGGAAAATCGACGAGAGGGCAGCGGGACATACATGAGCCTCTGAGAATTAGGTATTATGCAAGGTGGAGGTTTATTATATTGCCCTGTTTGACATAGTGGAAATAGATTTCATTTGAAATCTAAAAAGCAGGGGAAATGTTGGTTTATATGTGTTTAGAATACTTATCTTTAAATATACTATATCTAAACTAAAAATCAGTTTACTAATTTTTGTTGTTGTTGGAGTTATACACAAAGTTAAAAGATAATTTAGGTTTATTACAACTTGGGTCTTATTTTATTTTATTTTATGCCCAGTATTGGTTGCATTAACAATGTACTCACCAAAATAATTTCTTAGAAATACTG